TTTTATCAGTGGAAATTACATCATATATCCTTCTCTAAAAATAATGGTATTCTACTGTCTTTATATATATATATATATATATATAAAGAACAAACTAAAATTGGATGAGATTACTCACAGTATTCAAAATACAAAATGAAAGTAGACAAATAAAAAAGGAAAGGAGATGCTTGAATAAAAATAATTAAAAATAGCATCCTTTGTTTTTATTAAAAAGTAAAACTAAAGAGATTACGTCGGAATGACTACTTCTGTCATTTAATTAAGGTTTTACACTTTTACTACATACTAACATCTGCACCACTTGTTAACGAATTATATTTTGGCATACTAAATTAATTTTTCTGTTAGTACTAGGAAAATAAATAATTGAAAATTTATTGTAGATCAAAACCAATTTATGCATGCACTTTGCTGTAAGTTCTATATCATCTAATTTCTTACAGAAGTTGATTTTAGCACGTGAGATAAACACGATTTATTTATTTCTTTTTTATTTTACAAGTATTTACAGGAAAGTTTACTCAAACAAGTGATTTATTGTTGAGGAAAAAGGTTATATAAGAATGTTGATGTGTTGTAAAGAAAATAACATGCTAGCTAGTAAAATATAAGGTCAATCATCGTGAATAGTACTCTAAGTGAAACCAACTATATAATTTTAGGGGTAACTAATGGTCCTACTAAGCTTTGATATGCTTAACCCCTTAGATTTTCTATTCTCTGAACTTCTTCTAGCTATTCCCCTCATAGACTGAGTCAACGAGAGTTGAGGGTTAAGTCTAGTGGTGGCGTTATATTCCTGGCAGAAATCCCTGTGAGAGTTCAAAGCATCTTGCATGGCCACTTTAGGACTTCGCCCTACTCTTTCTTTAACAGCTTCAGAACAAAGCCCACAAACCCACTTCCCACAGTAACATTCTTGAACCTTTGTGATATAAACTGTGGTGCACTCCTCCTTCAACCCACAACATTGGCATTCAGCTTGTTCCACCTCTTCAATAGCACCAAGTTCTCTCTCCACCAACTCAAACTCATACTTATAGTATTTTCCAATTTCCTTTGACACGTCCGAGACAGCCTTTCGAAGCTTCTGCTGGTTCTGCTCCTGCGTGGGAAACAAACACATAGGAAAGTATCAAACTATGCATGTTCGTTGACAAGAAGCAATAAATGTAATAACGTGGTCAAGAGTGTTGGCAAGAGCACCATGTAAGAAATTTAACTAGCTTGCTCTCTTTGTCTTTGATGCCTGCTTTGCTACGTCTTGCAATGGGTGCATGTGCTTATTTATACATAAGATGTGGCTGAGAGTAACTATTTGATCATAAAGTGGATAGTTAGATAAGATTTTTTAGTAGCGATGCATTTGATTGACAAGTGACAACTCGAATGCCTTTACAGACTAACTGTATTTGTACATACAAAGTCCGTTGTCAATACTTATTAATTGGTCCACTAGCCCCTGCAATCTAGCAAAGATGTAATAAAGAAATGTTACATCTACATGTTGAGTAAGAAATCTAATGCACTAATTAAGCTAGCTAGCTAGCTAGCTAGCTATTCCCTGTTTGTCAAGACATTTGAACAATGGTTCTAATCTTTTGCATGTCTCTGCCTTCAACTCGTGAAGATTCAGAAATGTTTCATGTATATAGAGCAAGTGGCAGGTACTATACCATACCCAACTTTACCCATACGTGGACAGCTATCTATGGCTGAAATGTGAATAAAGAACCAGTCTAATTTTGTAAATAGAAAAGCAGCTCTATCACGGTTATGTGATGCATAAAAAAGAAACAGAGGGATACTACATAACCACAGCAAACAAAAATTAAATCAACATAGGACCAAACTAAAGCATTCTTACAATTTGGACTTAAGATTAAATCGACTCTATTATGTAATGGATGCAGGATCTCAACGCATTCCCTCATGCTCAACTTTAAACCTGATAAAATATAACTCAACCTTGTAAAATCAATTTATAAGATGAGAATTATTTGAAAGTTGTACGAATTCCATTTGTTACATTTTTTAGATGATGTGAGATAATGAGATCTCAACATTACCATTAACTTCTCTGGCTGCCTACATGTATCTTTTTGGTTTGTATCGCTTCCTCCAGCTTTGGTGTATTTAACTTGCTGCAGGAGTTGCCAATGAAAGTTAACTTGTTAAGGAAATGAGAGCAGCCTGTAACTTATATGATTTTTCTTGCAGCATGAATTTACGTATATAGACAATTAGATGTGTTATATCACGTTGAGAATTATAACAGATGATGCATATCTCCTGATGTTTCCTTTTGTAAGGCCTGTATGCGTGTGTATAAACAATTTTCTAACCGATGAAACTAAAAATGCAGCTTTTGTGTTACATATATGATGTATATATGTATGTGACTTATCTTGGAACTAGGGCGAGAGAAAAACGTAGTGTTTCTTTCAGGTTAATTTGTGAACGTTGGGAAACAAGATATACATACCCTTGCTTTTGCGATAAGCAAAGACGTGGATGCAGTTAACCAAGTGCGTGTTGGATAACGACAAATTTGAAAGGTGATTTAATGCACGTAATCACCAAGAAGAGAAACTTGGTTCTACATATATCCCTATCTTGAATATGAGTTGGACCCCCAAAGGGATAAGGATCACTTAGAGATAGTAGCTACCCCCAAAGCAAGTGCCATATTGTGGAGGGGAGAAATGATTTTCGAACACCACTACTTTTTTATACCTTTCGTAATATAAAAAATGACTAAGAATGTAAATTAGACGAGACTTATTTTTCAAGTGAATTCCTTCTTCATATACAAACAGATAGATAAATAACGAACTTGGATTGAGTCTCGTAAAAGTAACTAATATTTCAAGCTCATTCAAATTTCTACTAGAATCTGAATCTCTGAAAGAGGAAAGAGGAAATGCGTGTGTTGAGAGAATCCAGGTATTGATACATAGATTGTTAAAGGATGAGATTTTTTATTTTTTTTATAATAAGAAATAAAGAATATGAAAACTGTGATCGGCACTACATGAATTAGAGCATGTTTGAGAAAACGTTTGAATCACTGTAAATGTGAATTTTCACTTTCCAAAATACAAAAATAAGAAGCAAGAGTTTGTAATTTTTGAATGAATGTGAGTTTGGAAGACATTTAACACCAATCTAAACATGCATTTAATAGTGTGAAAATGGACGGATAATATAATTAAAATATAATATATAATTAGAAATTATCTTCATTTTATAATCAAGTTGATTTTAACATTTTCTAAGTTTAAATTAGGTCTGAATCCATATTTTAAATATAGTACTATCATTAACTAGTAAGATAATCCATATGTAGTTAAGTAAAAAAAATCGTATTTTATACATTAATTTTATAAAATTGAACTACATTGAGATTCGCGTTATCCTTACAAGTGAATTCAATATCTTGAAACTTGCGTCGATGGAGGATTTGGGTTTGTTTGTGTGAAGCGGAGAATGATTCCAGAGTCGCATGCATGTATCCTTAATTCCTTATGCATGAACTCTAACTATGCTTATGCTCTTCCTAGATGCATTCACCATTCACCATTCACCATTCACCAACCACCTCAGGATGTAAAGTGGGATGGAATTTGCTAGTTTATTTTATACATTTAACAAATTAGGGACAAAATTTATAAAGTGTTTATTTGTATTTTGTTATTTCAAAAATTAGGGATGAGTTTATACAATAATTTTCATCACAAAGTCGAGCAAGCTAGGATTATAAAATAAAAAAAAATCACAAATTTGCAACGGAAATAATAAAAAAATATTCACAAATTTGTGACAATTAATAAAATATTTTCATCACAAATTTATGAAAAAATAAGAAGAAAATAATTCGTCAAGAACTTGACATATTTTGAGCTAAATGCTTTGTTAAACTTCGTCCCAAATCCTTTTCGCATATTTGTATCATCAGAGATAACTTGAATAAAATTCAAAATGTTCTAAATTGCCTCCCACACTTGATGTAGCCCCCATTCTATTTGACCATGACAGGAAACTAGAAAAACCCTTCTTAGAAAACTCCTTGCAATGTCTCTGTAAATTAGAAAACTAGAAAAGTCTTTATCTTCGACTATCCATATTAATAAAAAATAAAAAAAACTCTTTCTCTATATATTAATAAGGAATGACACACTCAATAAATTAGAAGGGAAAATGAACATAGAACCAAAGTAGAAGATAAGTTAAACTAAAGGAAAATGAAGAATCAAACAAAAGGAAAAGAAACCCTTACCACGTGAAAAAAGGCACATCTTGTGAAATTTCTTGTGCTCTAAATTCTTTTGTGCAGAAACCCTTGCAAGTTAGTTAATGTGTAGATTTTCCTTTCTCAAACTGAGACTTTGGTTAAGCTACAAAACAACGAGCTTCAAACTGAAGGTGCTCTAATTTGAGGGTAATTGAAATTTTAATTTAAAATATTTTCATTTTACTTTTTGTAGGTTTACTAATTAATTCTAGTAAAAAAAAGTGTTTTGTAGTTAATTAAGTGAAATCAAATAAATATTATTTTGAATTTAATGTTTTTAAATTTTGATTATCATATTTTAAAATAATTTTTTTATTGTGAATTTACATAAAACTCTATTTTTGTGTTATTTAAATAATAAATATTATTAATTTACTTTTATGCAAGTTTGACTATAATATTTATATGAATGTTGTAAAATCTTAAATAAAAAATGAAATCATATCGTTTATGAAAAAGTAATTAATTAATCAAATATATATAAAATAAAAATATACTATACTGAATAAAAATAAATAAATAAAATAATAGATAAATAAAATCATGTTAAAAAAATATTGATACTTAAAATCATGTTAAAATTGTATTGTTAATAAAAATAAATTAATTTATAATTTTGTAATCTGACGAAAATCTGACAGAATAATTTCATCCCAATATTGGAGCAAAATTCATGTGGTCAAATTTGAGATAAAAACTAGGGACGAAAACTTGTGACGGTAGATATAATTTAATGATATTTAATTATAAACTATTAAATTTCTCTTACGTTCGGATACTGATATTGATGATCAGCTTAACATTTAAACGGGAATATTTGTGCAATTATGTAACCTTTTTCAGAATTTTAATACATGTATAAAAAAATCAATTAAATATGATTTAAAGGTAATTAATTATCATAAAAATCAAGAATTCTTGTATATATGATATTCCCTTTATCTCAAAAATGATTGCAGTTTTAACATTTAAAAAAATTATAAAATGACTTATGTTATTTGCTTTTAATGTAACATTATTTATTTAATTTTTTAATTTAGCCATCATAAATTCTTCAATTACCACTGTTAAACTTAAAAGTAATGTATATTATTAAAAGAGTGAGACTAGCTATTTTAATATAATTGTATAAAAAGGAATGATATATTTAATATTATTTTTAATTTATGTATAAAAATCCTAAAATATAATTATTTTGAGAAAGAAGAAGTAGTTTATATATGAATGACTTTGATGTGCCTCCAACGTAGCGAGAAGATTAATCAATATTATCAGCGGTGAATATTTCAGGGACGAACTAAAATAAAAAATATAATTGACATCAAATTATGTCAACTTCTCTTTTTCTTTTTCTTTTTAATAAACGAGCGTGGTATATTAATTCTTCATTGTATTGTATCGATATGAATGATAAAATTTGGAACCTATTGAAAAAAATAAACTACTCTATGAATAAAGGGATAAGGGGATTTTTAAAATTTTATTCAATATAATTTAATTAGTTATTTAGAGAAGATGAACTCTTAAATTACATTATAAATGTATCAACTTTTCCTGTTTCTTTGTCACTTTTTTTTTTAAATTTTTTCTTTCACTTCCATGCATGCATAATTTCTCACTCATACCAACACTATGATTATCTCTACACTAACTATTCATAGAATGTTCATATTCTCTCGAGGGTATAAGACTCGAAGGAATATGAGATACTAATGCATACACCCAACCATAACCATATAACCTCCTCCTAAGACAGGTTATTTTTGAATGTTTTAGTTTTTGACAACTACTAAGTCTTCTATGATGACTTTTTGACAATTATGGTGACTAATATTGTACATACTAATAGTGAAGATATATGATGTCTAAATACGCCTACAAAAAATAAAATTATGTTACGGTATAGCAGAAAAGCTCAAAGCAAAAGTTGATGATGAAGACATCATCAGCACGTACGTTTTTTCATCGTCGATGTGTCTCACTAGCCTTATAGTGTTTTGGACATGTCCCTGTTTCTTGAAGCAATATTCTTCTTCAATATCTTCTTGACGTTTTCAGCTTGATACAAATGAGGGTATGACCTACCAAGCCAATTGAACTTGAAACAATCGCTCATATGCTCTTTCAACGCTTCCTCACGCTTTCCACCGTTCTTCTCCATCTCCACATTCACAGCTTCAGCACACAACCCGCATATTAGCCTCCCTGAGAACATGTCACGCACGCGCCTTATGTACTCGAGGGTGCACTCTTCACACATTCCACAACACTCGCATTTGGCACTGTCTACCTCGGACACCGTTGCTAATGGTGACTCATCATTACGTGTTTCTTCTAGGGCCACTTCTTCTTCAAAGGTTATATCGGAAACGGCCATGTTGATGTTGGTGGTGGAGGAGTTAAAGGGATGGTTTGGGGGCATCTCTAATTCTCTATGAAGATATGAGAGCTTGAGGACAATGTTGTGATGTGATGATTTTGTTTGTTCCACTATAGTTTAGTTTGTATATGTATTTATATGAGAAAAATAGAGATGGAAATAGGTAGTAGTATAGTATTAGTATAGGATATTTGTGAGTCTGGTCTCGTGTGGGTTTGACATAGGGAACATTTAGAAACCTAGCTAAGAGCAGATGTATGTGGACTACAAGGGTTTTTTCAACTTAACTATGAAAAGGACAACAAAAGGTTTAAAGCTGATATTTTTTCACCAACAAGTTGGGACGCACAAATAACGAGTTCAATTTTCTTGGGCCCAATATTCTAACACTCACCTTTCTCTATAATTTGAAAGTTGAAACCCAAAAGGACATCAAATCAACACGCTTTACTCGTTCACGTATCCAAGTAATTATACACCATATATATGCATTAATTCCATATAAAGCGCTGAGCAACATTTATTTTTGTTTTACTTATGTTTTTTTTTTTACTATGATATTAATACAAAATATTTATCATTAAAAATAATAATTATTTTTTGTCAAAGACACTAAACATATTTCCCTTTCAATACAATCTAATTCATACCTAAATATAAAAGCAACTTGATAAATTATAAAAAAAAGGAGGAAGTAACTTGGGTAAAATAAAAATATAATAATAGATGATTCTGTCAGTATACAATATTAATTTGTATTATTATAATATTAAATATTAATTATATTGTACTATGCTATTCATATAGAACTTTTTTTAATCTATTAGAATTCCCATAACAGCATGTGATTAATATAGTTACAATAACTAAAATAAAAGTTTAATTTCTGTTAGACAAATGCTACGCACTAACAAAATCAATTACTTTTATTTCTCTATTAATAAATGATTTTTTTTTGTAATGCATGTCAGCATGCGTATGATATTATGATTATTACGAGTTAGGTTTACCTTCGTTGATTGATTTAGCAAAATATTAATATGATAATATATAATAAGGTTATAATACATTTTTAGTTTCTTTATTTATTTTTAAATTTTAATTTAGTTTTATTATTTTTTAAAAATTCAATTTGCCTCTTTAATTTTCAAAATATGTTAAATGTTGTATTTCTATCAAAATTAACACTAACAACATTAAAAAAAATTATATGAAAAGATAATGTTGAACATTTTTTAAAAATTAAATGACTGAATTAAACATTTCAAAAATAGTGAGATTAATTGATTTTAAAATAGTAGAACCAAATTGAGTAAAGATTTATCTAACATTTTTTTATCTAGATAAATTTGAATTTTCTTTTACTTACCTTAACATGATCAGGAATGAGAATAAATTGATTACTTGAAATTAAAATAAAAAATGATCATAAAATAAAAAAATTATCTAATAAAATAAATTATTAAATAGATAAAAGAATATTCAAATTTATCTAAACAAAAAAAAATGTTAGATAATTTTTTGTTCAATTTAGTCCCTTTATTTATAGAATATTCAATTTGATCCCAGTATTTTTAAATGATTCAATTTGATCATCTAATTATCATATATTTAATGTTGTTCTTCTATCCAATTTTATTATTATCCTTTGTGTCGATTTGGATTAAATTGAATTATTTAAAAATAATTGGATTAAATTAAATCTTAAAAATATATAGAGACCAAAAATATAATTAAGTTTATATAATTATTATGCACCTATATTAACAATATTACACAAAATTATTAAAATAGAAAATTGATATATTATAGGTATCTCATATTATTAGTTTATAATAAAGATGACATTTAACATTTTTTTCGTTAAATCGACTTATTTATGAGTAAAGTGATATCATCGATCGCAATTTCATATATAATAAAAATGAAAACCAAATTTCAACATTTGGTATAACCATAAATAAAGATATTCGAAATTAAATTCAATCAAAACTAATGTTTAATCGTATTAATTATTTGAATGTGGTTTTATGATTAATATTTATTCAACTTACAATCTTCTTAACACTTTGTCTTGTGTGAGAACGGTAGAATGCATAACTAAAAGTATGATTAGATACAAATTAAAAGTATTTTTAAGAATTTTTTACTAAAAATAAAAAGTATATTTTTAATTTATTTAAATAAAAAAAAACGTTTCTACACTTTCAAACCACTGTAGTTGATGCAATACCACTAGGTTCTAGGTGTTGATTGATAAAAAGAAAGTATAATTGTAGAAAACGACTTAGTCTTGCAGAAGAAACGGAAAATATATCTTACCGCCGGAAAGATGAGCAGATATAACTAACGAAATCCGAAATCATGTGAGAAAAAAGATCCCATGTGATGAGAGAGGGAGTTATATTTATGGGAGGGAAACAAAATAAATTAAAGCTAATTAACGCTCACGAGTTTCTTGAACTTTCAAATAAAGAAACTATTTAAAACGTTTTCAGTTTTTATGTCTATAACTCTTTCTCTCTAGGATCAAAGATAGTAGTTACTTCAAAAAATAAAAATCACGGGCTGTTAATAGAATGCCCAACCCTATAATAATAAAATGCTTCAATAAATTTGACACATCTCGATATATAGCGGCAAAATCAATCAAAGAGAAGCTTCTAACAGGAATAAGGGTTATTAAAAAAATTATAAATTAAATAATTAAATACATATGACAGCGGTAGGAGTTGATCCACGCTTAAGCAAGGTCAGGAGTTCGAATCCTGCCTTGTGTATGCAGTCGCGTTAAATCTTAAGGCCAGCTATCTCACCCTTTGAGGTACCTCTAACGTTACTCCAAGGACGAGGAGATTAGTCACTGCTATCGGCGATGGATACTCCAAGGACGAACCAAAAAAAAAATGACAGACTTCTACATTTTATAACTCAACAACTAAAACAGCGAAAAACATAACTATAGTTAACTAGTTACAATCAAAATAGTCCAAAAACTCACATCATCATCCTCCAACATGGCCCTAAAAACGCGTTCATTCACTATAAGAAATATTACATATAATAACATATAAAAAATGTTATTATAGTTATAATATATGTAGGCATGTATCAATTTGATATATAATTACATACAATTTTATTGTTGATTTTGAATGAGATTAACAACATATTTTGTGTGTCAGTATAGTTTATACTCATACTTTTTAATAATATACCAACACATTATATTTATTGTGTGGATAAAAATAATTTTTAATGACAAGTGTTGTGTTATTATAGTGTGTGTCATTATATAATGATTTTCTTGTAGTGATTCTCCAATATATTTCTGCCCTACTCACATAATAAGTATGATTATCGCAGTCTAACAACAAGAAAATACAAGGATAAGCTTAGATTCAAAATAATCAACATAGTATAGAAGTATTAAACTAACTATACAACAACTTCAACATCTCAACATTTCACAACAACCCAAAGCTCACCTTAACAACATAAATCAACATGCCAACACAATATACAACTTAATAACCTGGCAACAATTCAAATTACAACACAATCATAGAACTTATCAACATATCAATTAACTTAGCAAATGCACAACACAACTTATCAATTATATCATATGCAGAATACAACAACTATATGCGTCGTCATGCATTTTAACTAAAAGATCTCTTACAACTCAAGTGAGCAATCTAAGTGATTTAACCCTACCGAATCAACTTAATAACATGATCTTTTTCGATTTTCTTAATTAACAACAAATTCGGATAACACCCTGGAACACAACATTGTTTCTCAAATTTTTCCACTTAAACTAAAAAAGTTTAATATTTCTGTTAGGGATATAACAACTTGGGTATGAGTCTATCACAACCTTATTAGCATGCATAACTAAACCTATATGAAATTAATCTCTCGACTACCCTCCAAATATTGCACCAGTTCCAATACTTAATTAGAAATTTTGGCTCCTCATCTTGTACCTTACTCGATTGGTCACCTCATACACGTATGACTCAACCTTGTCCTCATATGGATCTACATTAGTCACTTTTAATTAGTATGGTTCAACCTTTCCCCTATACTTGAGGACCTAAAGAAGACTCAAAACTCCACTTCAAGAGTTAGCTATACTTAAGGAGGGTTTTTTAATAAATGAGTTCGTAGAGTACCACAACACCATATCCTCACAATTGGATATTTATTTTTTAAAAACAACACATTTCCTTTATTCTTAAGTCAATCGACATAATGCAACTACGTGCTTCAAGCATTCACAACATAGCTACTTTCAATACTACATTTTATACAACTTTACTACAATTTAACTCCTATTCATAATCAACTTACAACTTTTAGCAACTTAAATATTATTATACATTATCTCAAATCAATGCATAACGAACTAGAACTATATATCAACACACATCATATGAGTACGTCATTCAATTCAACACATGCTCCACATCATCGAGGCAAAGAGTCTCTAACACACCCACGCCTGACACCAATCCACCTATACTTGATGTGAATGAAGCAGAGAGCTCAAGTGACAATCACATCTAGTGTAACCAGTTCTACATCCAACCTCATTTAGGAGGAGAGTCTCTACCTAACTCACGTCCGACATCATTCAACTCACGCTTGACGCGTCTAAGCAGAAAGCTACTACCTTAATGACGTTTGGCGCCCCTCAAACTAGGGTTCGATGTCACCAAGCCAAAGAGATCTCGAGGCTATCACACTTGGTGCCCCTCAACCTACATTCTGTATGACTAAGTCAAAGAGCTTTCATCCAACTCACACTCAATGTTATCAATCTTGTGCCTGATGTTAATGAGACAGAGAGTCTTTGGTCTGCATCACGCTTGACATGAAGTTGCACTTAGCGTGATAACGATTTCTACACTAGGCAAAATCACATTTTAGCTCAATCCACTTGACCTTAGGGAAGGATCCTAGTACTCTCTAGGTATTTAAAAGAATAAGGAAGAAGTTCTAGCTCAAGAGTTTCTCTTTCTAACTTCTCTCTA